AAGTGAAATCTGCCTTTTTACAAGCTGCCAAAACCATTTTGACTCCTTTAGATTTTGATTCTACGGTTTATATCTATTGTGATGCTAGTCAATTCGCTACTGGTTCTGTTTCCTTTCAATATTCTGCTGACGGTTCATTGAAATTACTTGGTTTTGATTCACAAGTGTTATCTCCTGCTGCCACAAGGTATTCCAGTTCTGAACGAGAATTGGTTGGTGTTACTCATTGTCTGAATGCCAATCCAGGTTTGGAACTACATGGTGATATTGTGGTCCTCACAGACCATAATGCTTTGGTGGATATTCAAACGAAATCTACCACTTCTCCTCGGTTACTCAGATTATGGCAAAAGATCCAACATTATTCCTTCAAACTCAAATATGTTGCTGGTCCGCTCAATATCTCTGATGCGTTAAGCAGATATGCCTCTGCTCCTAATCAATTATTGGCTCTTGGTGAAATTGAAAATGTGCCATCTGAAGAAGTTGTTGTTTCTCCAATTGATTCTGAAAATGTTGCTGCTCCAGCTTCAGTTGACGATGTTGTTGCTCAAGCTCCAGTTGAAGATGTTGTTGCTCAAGCTCCACCTGAAAATGCTGTTGCTCAAGATGCTGTTGATCCCCCAGTTCAGGAAGAACCTGTTGATGACGCACAAGCTGATGTTGATGTTATGGTTCCACCAGAAGATATTCGTGGATTAACTGATGAAATGATTCGTTTCTTAGTCGAACCCAATCAAACTTTTGATGAGGATTGGTTAAATTTTATTCATTCCCACTTATTGATCTTGGATGATAAAGTTCTAGTTAGGGATTCTGATTTGCTCTTGACCTATATTGATGCTGCTGAAACATCCAAAAAGCTCAAAGAACTTCATGCCGCTCATCATGCTTCCCCAAGAATTTTGCTTTCTCTATTTACCAATGAATGTCGATACTTTCATCCATCTGCATTCCTTTTCAGTCAATATGCTGCTATCGATTGTGATAAATGTTCCCATTACAAATCTTGGCCCACTATTTTCGCTGATTTGGCTCCATTGAAACAGTTTACTATAGGTCACACCATTCATATTGACCATGTGGAATTAAGATTTGGTTCAGGTGATCATAAATACTTGCTCACAGTTGCTGAAGCGTCTACTGGTTATTTGTTTACTTTTCCTGTTATGAGAATATCAATGGATCATACTGTGAATTGCATTTTGTTGGTCATGCAATTTTTTCCAAATTTGACTACTATTGTTGCTGATAATCATTCGGTGTTTTCTTCAGCCATTTGGAAGAAGTTATTAGCTGGTTATGAAGTGAAAGTTGTTCATAGTGCGTCATATTATCCTCGCTCAAATGGTTTGATCGAGATCCGCAACAAGCTGTTCAAATCTATTCTCAAAGATTTAAGTTACAAGAAGGTTTTAAGTGATATCAGTCACAATGAATTTACATCATGGTCCAAGACTTGTCTTTTAGCTACTATGTTGTTCAATATGAGACCTAATTCATTCGGATACTCACCCTTCTTTTTATTGTTTGGACACAAGGCGGATTCTACACATTTGCAACTTCATAAGATCACTCAAGAATCTCCAACATTATCCAGTCCACAATTTGGGATCACTATCTCACCTCCTCCTAATGCTGCTGCTATTCCAGCTGTTTCTGCTGCTCAACAACAGTTAAATGTCATACAAGAAAAGGAATTTTTTGATGCTCGTGTTCACCAAATTGAAAGCCATATCAAACATCGTGATGCCAATTGGTCATTGCGCCACAAACAACGTGTTTTACGTAAAGCTTTAACTGATAGGTATTCCAACAAGTTTGAATATGCTCTAGGTGAATTAGTTATGGTTAAAAATGTCAAGAAAACCAAATTTGATGTTTTTAGTAACGGTCCTTTTTTGATTTCCAAAGTTTTAGGTAAACATACTTATGAAATTAGTACATTATCCCATAGAGTTTTAGGTACTTATGATGTTAATAGGATATTTCCTGCTTATCAAGTCCTTGGTTCACCAATTCGGTCTTATTCTGATATCTCCAAACAAATTTTTTTAGCTGAAAAACAATTTGTGGCCCACAATCTTCAGCCAGGTCAAGATGATTAATGCTTTTGCTCATCGTCTTGTTTTATTTTCTTTTATGCTTCACTTATTCTAGGTCCTGTTGCTTTAAATCCATTCATTAGATGCTTTTTCAGGTTCCTTTTCATTCTCCATTCTACTCATTTTTATTATTT